GGGCTTGGAGCTTCGCTGACACACTCTGAAGCTCCTTACCCAGGTGGTCAGCCTCCTCCTGCAGCTGCTGCTGGAATAGTGAAAGTGTTGGTTTGAACCTCAGAAGGAAACAGACTCATGGGATAGTCATCTAAATGTAATCTATAAAACAATGGTTTTCACCCATGATCATCTAAAATATATATTTTTAAGCCCTGACTCTGAGATTCTGATTCCCCAGGCAGGGCCCCACTTTGTAGATTTTTAGCACACTCTGGAGGATTCTATGGCGGGACCAGAACAAGGACCCAAATCTTCTAGCTCGTGACTGGAGCCTCCCCATACCCTGCATGATCCCTAGACCATGGTCCCAGCCGGACGGGGATCCCACAACCCCCGGGGCTGTAGCCGCTTGCCTGTGGCAGCAGGAGCTTGGCCTTCTCCAGCTTCCTTTCTAGCTCCTTTACATTGAGCTGGATCTCAGACTTCTCAGATTCTACAAGTCGAAGTTTTTCTTGTAGTTCGGCATTTTTCTCCTTCAGCTCATCATCGGTTATGCTACGACCAGAGGCAGTAGATAAAGGAATGAACGAAGAACAGAAAGGACTGCTTTGGTGATCAACCCTCTGCTTTCACCCCACAACCACAGAACCGTGGCATTGGATGGGACCCCAGGAATTTAAAGCCCCAGGTGGCAGGCCAGAGAGAAGACATGAGTTGCCTGAGGCTACCCCATGAGTCAGTGGCACAGCCGGCACTAGAGCTTCCCTGTGCCCACATGAAAACCTGTATGAGCCTCTCACCATGCTCACCTGTACCCCCACCTCCCAGCACACCCCCCACGCTAAGAGCCCCCAGACTTCCCATCCCACCATCCCCCATCCTACGTGTTCCTGTACAGTTCCAGACTGAGGGAGTCCTTCTCCTTTGTTAACTCCTCGATGTACTGCAAATAGAGAAAGGTGAAGTCAGGACAGAGCAGGCAGAGGAGCGGCTGGCCGACCAGGAACAACAGCCACCGTGACCACTCCACACACGACTCCCCACTCCCACTCACACCTGACATGCTCTCAAGGCACTTCCAAGCCCAGGGTCTCCTTTGGTTTTCTTTTTTGTTTTGTTTCTTTCTTTCTTACTTTTTCTTTTTCTTCAGGCAGAGTTTGACTCTTGTTGCCCTGACTGGAGTGCAATGGCGCAATCTCAGCTCAGCACAACCTCCGCCTCAGCCTCCCGATTAGCTGGGATTATAGGCATGTGCCACCACACCCGGCTAACTTTGTATTTTTAGTAGACATGGGGTTTCTCCATGTCCGTCAGTCTAGTCTTGAACTCCCAACCTCAGGTGATCCGCCAGCCTCGGCCTCCCAAAGTGCTGGCATTACAGGCATGAGCCAGAGCACCTGGCCCTCATTTGTTTTTCAAAGAACTCAGTAAAGGTGGAAGGGACAGGGAAAGACACTGAATTCATAGCTGGCTAGCAGGGGCCCTGAGACATCAGATGGTATTGCTCTTGTTCTTACTGTTACTACTACCACTGTTGGAACCTTTACTGACTGCTTCACCAGGCACTGCACTAACAATCCCATTTAATCCTCACAACCTCCATAGGAGACGGTTACCATTATTACCTCTATCGTATAGATGAAAAACATGGGGTATTGAGGGTTAAGTGCTTGCCTAAGATCACGTAGAGCTGGGTTTTCAACACCCAGGTATGTCTGATTCTCTAAGCCCATTCTTTCACTGGGGGTAGGGGCAAAAATAAGAAGGAGGAAATTAATCATTTGTTGACATTTTGAAAGGATGATACATTCGAATCGTCCAAAACTCAGAAAGTACAGAAGGGAAATATCTCCCCCCAACACTGTTCCTCTCTCCTGAGATGTTTATGAATCCTTACAAAC